TCTGTGAATTAAAGTGTAAAACTGTGAAAAGCTCTTTAAAGCCCTTCCCGGTCTCTTAAAATGCTTCTTTTTTTTTTTTTTAACTGACTAATGGTACTTATGTGCTTCACTGCACCCACAGCATGTCCTCAAATGCTTTGTGGAGTTATTTTAAAGCAGTGACACATGTTCTCCACTGGATGGAGCAATTTGTCTGCTTTCTAATTCTCTAGATCAATCTGTAAAAGTGCCTTCACTTCAAAATGCTAAATAGTTCCTACTGGAGTTAAAGGTATTTGTGCTTGTTTCCAGAGTGTGTTTATATCTGAGTGTGTAGAGTGTGTGGAGTGTGTGTGTGTTGAGTCTCTGCCTTACAGAGATTCTTCTACTTCTGTAAACACAGTTCGCCGGTCAGATCTTTTGCCTCAATAAGGCAGTGCTCCTCACTTTTTTGCCACTGTTAACCCTTTGTTCCCCACCCAAATCATTTGTCCCTTGCACTGGGTAAACAAAGCGTAACCAAGGGAGACGTGCGATCACAAACGTTTAAGTGAGGATTCGCACCATGAATCTTCACATGACATCATCCAGGATCCAGCGACGAAGAGGAGGAGAGGCGGCTGAAGGTGACAGAGATGGATGAAACCGAGACCTGACGTGATTCTCCCTCCTCCTCCTCCTCCTCCTCCTCCTTCATCCCTATTTGGGTGGTTCGTGTAAACTCTCTCCAAACATGTGTCCTTGCGAAGTGCAGCAGTGTGAGGTGTGATGCCAGGGCTGAGCGCTCACCAGCTCCACATCTGAAGGAGGTTCGAGAAGAGAGGAGAACCCAGAGAGCACCCTGCATCCTGAAAACAGGTGAGTCCAGCAACACCTCAGCCGCCACCAAACCCCTCGTCTAAAGTTCTCACACGTGTGTTACTTTGTTCTTCCCTCCGTACGTCATCGGACACGAGATATTTTCCCCGTTTCTCAGCACATAGTTTCACGCTGTTATCAGATTCTTTTAGCAATGGTCCCGTTGCGCTACATTACTATATTTGTACGTGTTTTTTTGTTCCGTCTGCGCTGCAGTTGCCGAGATACACCGAGGGGCACTTGGGCAGGACAAACATTTCTCTGCACGGCTGCTCAGTTTGTGTCTCTTAAGATTCACACAACTGTTTATGTTTGAATTACTGAGCAGGCTGCGAGCAGAGCAGATGTGTTTTTTACGCTCCGTTTGTGGCATTTGTGAATTGTTTTTGGGGTAAACAGTGAGCGCTGTCTGTCACCAATAATTCATTGTTGCCTCTGTGTGAACGATGCACAAGTTGTTTCAAAAAATCTGCCTCAGTTTTCTTGTGTGTTTCAGTTCTTATCCTTTAAAATATTCTCACAAAGTTTCTGTCAGGATTCACTCGACATGGAGTCAAAGCCTGATGGAGCAGCATCGTTGAGCTGCGAGGAGCTGGCTGCTGTTGAGGATGAAGAAGTTCTCAATAAGATGGTGAGCCGCTTGGACTTTATGTCTCTTTTAAATCTGACCAAAGTCTCCTCGTCACACATTCTGCAGACAGCAGGTCAGGGATTAATGTTTTTGCCACTTTGCAAAGACTCTGTTTTCCATTTTCCTGTCCTGCAAAATATCTGATTTGTAAAAAAATTATTTCTTTTTCTGGATTAAAAGGTTTTTGAAACGCTGTGCTGGAACAAAATGTGAAAAAGTTTAGCCAGAGCAAAAGGTTGTCAACCCACAACATGTATTCGTCCAGTATTACCTGTTCCTGCCTGAATTTATACAAACCCAACACTGATTGCAACCTTTTCAGCACAAACATATCCAAACTGTGCGTCGTACCACATTCCAATTTGGATAAACATCGCATTTCCCCAACAGCCACATTTTTATCTCTCTTCTGTACCAATTTGATAAATTTTCTGACTAAGTATTTGACCTGTAGCATCTTTTCCTTTATTTTAAAGCTGTTTAATAATAGAAAACCTGTAAAACATTCACTTATCTAACATCTGTTTCATGAATTTGTCCAACAATTTAAAAAAACTTGACCAAAAATAATCCTGTTTCTGATCAGAGGGTTGTTACATAAAACGATATAAATGTCCTCCATCACCAACATCAATCCTCTGTTCTAAAAGTTTTGCTTTTAATCTGTCTGTGACCTTTATTTACCTGTGACCTTTATTGTTTTCTCAGCTGGACAACGCGACAGATTTTGAAGAGAGGCGGATGATTCGTGCTGCGTTAAGGGACCTGCTGAAAAAAAAGAGAGGTGAAATCCCAGGAAAAACTTGCGGTAATGACATGGCCATCGACGCATTGCTATGTCTCTGAATTTCTCCACCATCTGTCGTCAGATAAACGGGAGCAGGATCGAGGGTCGAGGCAGCAGGACTTGAGACAGCAGGGTCTGAGCAAAGGGGGGACAACAGGCGGAGGTGTTAGCGTCGGCAGAGCGTCCATGAACCAGCAGCCAACAACAAACAGTGAGTCTGATTTACTCCGAGACCACATTCTGCTTTCGGTTTCAATATTGTACTTTCATTTCATTCCCTCCATCTTCTCAGAAGCACCCGGCCAGTCCTCAGCATCCGGTCCCTTCAACAGGACGGCAGGCGGGTGAGTTGATTTCAAACCTAGTGTGGTCAGTTTTCCATGTTTGGGTACGACAAACATGCAATCCCAGACGTTCCTGCATCATTAGCTTCTTTTTTTTTGGAACTTAATGATGTATTTATTAACATTATGCTGGTATGCAGCTCAGCGTTTTAAAAAGTTGCAGCCACAGTCACTAAAAGAAAAAAAAAACTTTTCTAGAAACAGCGTCGGCCAAGTTATACGATGAGGTAACCCAGACTTTCTGTACAGTCACTGCATGTCTTTGCTTCCTCTCCTCAGCAAGGCCGGTCCCGCTTCAGCCCAGCAATGTCCTCCTGCTGCAGCACCCAACGCTAAAAATGTCAAACAGATGCTTCTGGACTGGTGCAGGGCCAAAACAGAGCCTTATGAGGTAAATACTCCCCCTTGTCTGTGAGTTATGGTCCAGTGGAGCTATACATAGCTCGCTCCCTCGTGTCCAATCTGATTCCACGACTTCTTCTGGTGTGAACCAGGGGGTGGACATCCAGAACTTCTCCTCCAGCTGGAAAGACGGCATCGCCTTCTGCGCCCTGGTGCACCGGTTCTTCCCCGACTCGTTTGAGTACTCCATCCTCAACCCCAACCAGCACAAGGAAAACTTCCAGCTGGCCTTCAGCACTGCAGAGTGAGCTCGCTTTCCTTATATGAAGAGGCAGATGAGTCTTGTTTGGCATAAACTCCAGCAGTAAATCTTAGATGGAAAACAATGTGACTTTACACTTACGAGAGCGCGCTTCCTTTGTCATTGTTTGCTCAAACTATTATTCACTGACGTCTGCAGGAGGCTGGCGGGCTGCCCCCCTCTGCTGGACCCTGACGACTTGGTCCGGATGAGAGAACCCGACTGGAAGTGCGTGTACACCTACATCCAGGAGTTCTACCGCTGCCTGGTGGAGAAGGGCCTGGTCAAGACCAAAAAGCGGCCATAGACTCATTCGTGATTGGCTGTGATTTCCCTTTTTTACCATTACATTACTACAGCTGATGTAAAAAAGAAAAAAAAGAGAGAGAGAGGGAATGTCGTGCAGCTTTTTCAACGTCCTGCCTTTGATCTATTTGATGCATCTGCGTCATTTGAATGTAAATCCACGGTGCCTAATGTGCAGCATTTGTATCGGCTTGTGTGTTAGCAGGGACTTACGGGTGTCTATGTGGTCTCGGTGGACAGCTGGTGCTGCACATCAGTACATTCCACTGAGATTACACATCTGTATTAATCCCAGTCAGAGCCATAGAGAATCTGACTTTTATGATGACGCTGTCGAAGGCCTGGGAGTGTGAGTATTACAGATCCATTCAATAAATATCCTTTTTATCATACACGCTGTTGTTCTGTGTAACTGATAAATGAACGCGCTGCTGTAGAAATCAAAACACTTTATTTTCCAGATGCCAAAGTCGCCAACTCCTGGTGGTGTATTTTACATTTTATTGTGAACAGATTCGTGTTGTGTGAAAGCAGGATATTTACAGTTGAAGAGGCACCGTATGCACATTAAGTTCAGTTTACTGGAGGCTGGAGTATTTCCCCTGAATGAATTTGGTGCCAAATTCTGCGTAGATTGTTTTGGAATCCCAGAATCTTACAAAATGAACCAACATGCTTTGTCAGAACAAGTGTGCGTTACGGACATGGGGCTTAAAAAACATGAGGCGTTTACTGACAGGAAAGGTGGAGTGTAAATCATAGCATCTAGTGTCTCTGATGTCTTCTGAGGCCCCCAACTTTATTTGCTGGAATACTCGATGTAGTTGCACAAGCTTTTCAAATGTGCATTTACACACACAGTCACACTCTAGAGAATCAACTGTGTGCGCTACAACGGAGCAGAACTAAAGCTATTTATAATAATAATAACAGTAATGGACACCCGGGATCTTTCTGCATGGAGTCTCCATGTTCTCCCCGTGCAGCGTGGGTTCTCTCCAGGTTCTCCGGCTTCCTCCAACAGTCCAGAAACATGTTGAGGTTAATTACTGATTCTAAATTGTCCGTAGGTGTGAATGTGAGTGTGCTTGGTTGTCTGTCTCTAAGTGTAGCCCTGTGATAGACTGGTGACCTGTCCAGGTGTCTCCTGTCTTGACCCTGAGTCAGCTGGGATAGACTCCAGTGACTCTAGTGAGGATTAAGCGGTGTATAGATAATGGATGGATGGATGATAGTAATCACAGAAAGAATTGTATGTTTGTAGGTTTGATCATGACTGTGCCCGTCAATAAATAGCAAAACCAGTAATCTTGAAGATGCAACTTGTGCCTTTGGGGCCAAACATTTAATCATAATTAGATTTTTAACTGTCCTGACCCCAAACAGTGCCTATTAAAAGCATCCTCCCTCCTTTTCCCTTTTTATTTGTTAACATTGAATCGAGGCTTTTTTGACAAGACGTTACAACAAATGACTCTTTTGTGTCAAAGTGAAAACCTTTTAATTTTTGCATAGTGATGTCAAATAATATAAAACATAAAATAAGTGATTGCTACTTTAAAGTGACTCATCTAATTCAGGTGCAGCCGCTTGGTGCTACAAGTGACACAATTAGTGAAATGGAGATCATCAGAGTGCCGTGACTCACATGATTGCAGTATAAAGACGCTTTTATCTGGAAGGTCCAGTCACTGGTGAGTCAGTACTCCTGGTTAGAGCAGCACCATGAAGACAAAACAACACTCTGAGCAGCTCTGTACAAAGCTTATTGAAAAGCATAAATCAGAGGATGGATGCAAGAAAATTTCCAAGTCACTGAATATCCCTTGGAGTACAGTTACATCCTAAGAAATGGAAGGAATGTGGGTGAATCTGATCAGAGCAGGCCGTCCCCAAAAACTGACTGATTAGGCACCTCTTGGACAGGTCATGTTTGTAAATGAGAACTGCTTCTGAAAGATTTTTACCTGGTAGAATAAAGGTCAATTAAAAAAATAAAAAGAGACAAGTGAGAGAGGCCACCACAAGCCTCACAAAACTGCAGCCTGGTTTTATATTTTTAATTAAATGACATTACTGGTTTCACTTTGGCATGAAAGAATCTTTGTTGTAAATATTCTCCAAAATAAAAGACAAATTATTTTGACCAAGATTCACTATTTAATAGCAATAAAATGGGGCAACTTTTCATACGTATTTTGGATGAGGACAAAATCAGTAAATCTATCTCAATGATGCAACATCACAAACGAACACAGAGCCACAAAAAAAAAAAGGCTAAAATTATCTCTTTTTTTTTTTTTTTTTTGGAGCATCGATGGAGCGTAAACACAGCCGCGCGTTAATTGTTGAGTTATTTCATTGATGGCTCGGTGGTGAGGAGGCTATTTTGGCTGTGAGCTGGTAGCGCCCCGTGCAGCTGCCATGAGGGGTGCAGATAGGTAGCTCTGCCAAATTTAATTATTGACATGCTGATCAATTCCCCAGGCAGTGACGCACCAGTGCCAGATTTATGCGTCACTGATAGGACAGATGCTCAATTATTTCTGGCTGGCTGCACTTTGGCAGCTGATTTTGTGAGTGTGTGTGTGTGTGTGTGTGTGTGTGTGTGTGTGTGTTTTGCCTCTGCTTGCTGCTCTGCCCGCCCCCAAGTGTTCATGTTTTACCCGGAGAGAGATAGATAGAGGATAGAGGGAGGGAGAGAGAGAGAGAGAGGGAGGTGTTGGGTCGGTGCGCGGCCGGTGTGCAGGAGGAGGAGGTGCAGGCGGGATGCTGACCGAAAAGTGCACAGCTGCTCCGGCCAACTGCGCGTCGCACGGACAGCGATACTAAGTAGGATGAGGTGCAATCAGCTGTTGTATCGTAGCATCAACATGCAAGAGTCCGGGCGCATCAAGCGTGACCGCCTTCTGTCCTGACAGCCCGGCGGCTCGGTCTCCTGCACCGTGACGAGACGAGTCCGCGCTACCGACGGGGTCGCATCCGTCCTGCAGCCCGGCTGGACCATAAATCGATCCTTTTATGTGACAGTGAGCGCGGGTTGATTGGTAGTATTATTTTAAAAAAGGAAGAAAAAAAAACACAAGGAGACTGATGCGTTTCCTCTCTGAGAATTTGTGAGATCACCTTTGCGGTTCACCTTGGAATTAAAAAAACAAAGACGCATAAAAGGTAAGACGTGTTTGGAGAGCCAGCAGCCACAGCCGCTGTTTTTCTCCTGATTGTTCTTGTAATAATTGTGCTTTGTGTTGTTTTCCAGCTTCTTACCTCTGCACATAATGGAGCTGTCATTCAGACTTGCTGGCTCATAGACTGAAATGTAGAAAAAAAAAAAGAAAAAGGCCCACTTGTTCTGTGTTTTAGGCTCTGAAAGTTTTATTTTTTTACTTTCAGCACGAAGCACTGCTCTGTTTTTGATGCTTCTGGTCACCTGGATATCTCTGTTAGAAAGAGATCCTCATTTGCATGTCATGAATAATTTAAAAAAAGGTGTATCATTTCTGTGTGGGAGGGCACATAAACAAAATGGAGGGAGGCCCCTGTCCTCCTATCATGTCAGGCTTCCTCTTCCTTGTGACCTACAGTATCTGTTGACATTGTCTGATGTGCTCCATCATCTGTCAGTCCCACCTCATGCGTCCGTCCGAGCTCATAAGCGAGAGATCAAACAGCGAGCTCTTTACAGTGTCACAGCATCCAAACAATTCTTTCTTCTGCTTCGTAAAAAGGGTCAGGGGCTAATTAGTGTTGCTAGGCAGCGAGGATGTAATCCGGGACGCTGGTCCAAAGTTAGTTCCTCGTGATAAAATCATCAGTGACGCCCGGGGAGCGCGATGTGGACAGATACTCAATATAATGTGATGCATTCTCTCATCTTCCACTCAGTGCCGGCACATCTTTGGCTCTTTCACCTGTGCTGAGCTCTCGGTGATTGATGTTGAGCCCTTTTGGCATTTTTATGTCCTCTGTAAGAGCTTTTATCATGTTAAATATTAAGAAGAAGTACGTTAGTTGTCTCCATATTGTTGCAGGTTGATGGATCGCCAGAAGCATGTCAGCCCGGACCCTTGTGGTCCTCAGGTGCAGCCTGGACCCTGTGCGTTAATGGGACCCGGTCCAGGTTTACCTCCACAGCTCACAATCCAGGAACCGCCTCTCATCAGCCCTCCAGAGGTGCTCAAGAAGCCGTCCGGACTGAGCCCCACGCCGGCCGTACGTGCACCTGCAAAAGACCAGATGCGGTCAGGAGAGGCGAAGTCTGGGTCCACTTCAGCGACGCTGGCGAGCATCAGCCGCCCGAGACCGACTGCTCTCGGAACTAAACCGTCTCCAAAGCCGACCAGAATCGCTCTGGACCACTCGCTCTGGAAGGAAATAGATCTGATCCCTGTTAACATCCCAGGACCTCAGAGTGCCAACGCCCTGCCACACTCTCCCACAGAGTCCACGTTACCTGCTCACAGTCCTCAGAGCCCCCACAGCCCTCAGACCTACCTGAGCCCTTCTCCCAGCCTGCCTCAGCCCAGCACCAACCTGCCCTCCAGCCTCAGCCCCAAGTCCAGCCTCAGCCCTCAGCCGCAGAGGACGCCCTCGCCCGGGAGCTCGACCCAGAGCCTGGCTCAGTCCGACAAGTCAGAGGGAGAGAACAATGACTTCAGGTGAGACAAACAAGAACACCTTCATAAAACATTTCTGTAGTACGTCGCCTGTGTCACTTCCACAGGGTGTTTAGATCTGCTCTGATGAACGCCGGCCCTCCATGTGTCTAAATACAGCTGCAGAAGTGTCCTGCAGTCAGCCGCTGTAAGGAAGCTGATGTGAGTCCAACCATGTCACATGAATCACAGCAGCACTAAGAGCTTCATGAACCTGACAGAGTGACACAGGCACATTTTGTTGGCAGATTTCCCAGAGGCACTTTTGTTGGGTCCCCGCGCTCATAAACAACGGCTGCTAGTAAAAACTCAGTTTAACTTGGTGGACGTGTGTTTATACGAAGAATAAAACATGTGGGAAGACGTTCAGATGGCATCATCTCCTGTCTGTCCTGCTGTTCCTGCAAAGATGCATTTTTATTTTTTATATCACCACAGATCAAATGTTCATACTTTACACTGAAAGCATGTATTGATGCGCATCGATTCCTTTACTTTCAGGCAACCGATGGTTTGTTTTGGTATGATGCGATAATCAATTTATATGGAAAATGTCAAATAACAACACTGGTGCTGTTTGCTTCTATATTTCTGTATAGATTTTTGCAGTCGGGGTTATGGTATGGTCACCTGATCACAGAACCATGAGCTGTGTTCACTGGAAATGAAATCCTGACGACAAACAACAGCATGGCAATAAGGTTTCTGGAAAGAAAAATGTGAATTTAGCCATTTATTACACTAAAACAGGCACACATTTAATGGCAGAACAGTCAGTAATCAGCAGTAATAGAGCTTAAAAATAAAATTTTAACTTAATCATACAGTTGAATGTTCAGTGGATTCTGTTTTAATTTTAATTTTAGATAACTTTAAACTGATTTTTGTCTTGTTTGCTATTTAAATCAATTGAAGCAAATGGCTGCAGTAGAGCAGGAAATATAAAATCCTAAATAAATATAGGTTGGAAAATGGAAACCATGACGGCTGAAACATGCACAAATAGCAGCGAGGTTGTTTAGATTCATCATTTGATCCTGTAAATGTACCAAACAGTTCTCTTTGTGGCACAAATCTACATACCAACCAGCAAAAAGTAAAGAGAGTAGCTCTGATATGAGCTGATTCATCCAATGAAAGAAAGTAATGTGACAACTATTTTGATTTTTGAATCATTTTTCATGCACAAATGCCAAATATTTCCTTGTTCCAGCCTTCCAGATACCAGTTTGTGCTGCTTGTCTTCATCCTATCTGACATCTCCTTCACTTAATAGGCATTTTTCACAGTTTATTAACATTTTACAGACAAAACAATGAACTGAACACTTGAGAAAATCGGTAAATTCATAAATACTGAAGCCAACAATCCAAAATCTTGCCTCTGTAATAAAACCGTGTGTCTGCTAATTCAGTTTCAGAGCTCCATCACTTTCTTTCTCCCTCCAGCTCACCCACGCGCACACGCACGCTCCATACTTAGTCATCATGGAGGTACACAGAGGTGCTTAATTGTGCTTATCTTTTTTTCTATATACAGAAACCCTGATGAAAGCCGCGTCCCCCGAGGATTACAGCATGGATTATGTCCTCTTTCACCCTTCACTATATGGTACTTAAATCTAATGCAGCATCTCCTCTGCTTCCATCCTCTGAAAAGGGTCCACATCGTCACATGGAACGTGGGATCAGCTGTCCCGCCAGATGACATCACTTCTCTGTTTGGACCAAATGTTTCAGATGGGAACATTGACATGTTTATCATCGGGTAAGCAAGTATTTCTGCGCGACTCAGCAGTGCCAGAGAGACAGCCGTGAGTGCCCACTCAGTCATCTGTGTTGGTTTTTGATTTGTTACCTCCTGCTACCCATCACTGTCCTTTTGTTTTTTTTTAAATTTCTATTTGTTAATGACATTTCTCTACTTTCATCCAGACTCCAAGAAGTCAACTCCATGATAAACAAGAGGCTGAAGGATGCTCTTTTTTCAGACCAGTGGAGCGAGCTCTGCATGGACACGCTCAGTCCTTTCGGCTACGTTCTGGTCAGTAAGGAGTTAAAACCTATCGTCCTTCATTCCTAAACGTGCCCTCGGTAGATGTCACATTATGTTTTCGTCCGTTTAGGTGGCGTCCCAGAGAATGCAGGGCGTGCTGCTGCTGGTTTTCTCTAAATTCTGCCATCTTCCATTCCTCAGAGGTGTGCAGACGGAGAGCACTCGCACAGGACTGGGGGGATACTGGGTACGTGCTACGCATCACAGAGTGCCGCTCTGAAACCGGCCGATTTATGATGTGGCGAAATTTGCGGCGGGTAGCGTGTCGGTGAGGTTTTAATGGGATGTGGCGGTCAAAGGTAGCGTGTGGCGGTGCGTGCATGCGTGGGCGCGTGTGTCAGTGTGTGACCTTCCCGTGCGTGTTGATGTCAGCATCACCCCTGGCTGCTGCTGGTGCAGTCTCCTTCTCTTTGAGGTCAGTGCAGCAGCAGGGCTGTCTGGCTTTCTGGTTCTGTGACTCAGTGTCAAAAAAAAAAAAAAGAAAAGAAAAGAAACAACACCACAACCTCGTCCCCGAGCGCAGACCTGCTCGCTACGTGCATGTGTTTTGTTTGTTGTAAATGTTATTATAAAGAGTCTGTGCCGTCAGGTTTGTCACGGCATCCTGTCTTTGCCCTTTCCTGTCACTCTCAGGGGAACAAAGGGGGCGTCAGCGCCAGGATGACGATGTTCGGACACCCGGTGTGCTTCCTCAACTGTCACCTGCCGGCTCACATGAGGAACCTGGAGCAGCGGATGGAGGACTTTGAAAGCATCCTTCAGCAGCAGCAGTTTGAGGGAGGGACAGCGACCGGCGTGCTGGACCACGAGTGGGTGGCAGTGTTTTTACATGTTAGTCTAATTGAACCAAATGAGGTTTGCACAGCCATTAAAAAAAAGAGTAATTAAGTCAGTCATTCAGCCATAATAATGAATAAATGTCACACGTAGACACATTAATTCATCATCTTAAAATAATGAATAAATACTTGGAGGTCATGTTAAATGCTCAGAAGCATTACTATTTGATATTTAATGTTTCTTGAGTTTCAAGTAACAGACTTAAACTTGGATCTTTGTCATGATAGTGTAGAAAACATTATACGACAAACAAAAAATAAAACTATAATAGTCAACTATAATAATTAACCCTCCAGCAGTTTTCTTGCTCCTGTCACATTTTTACACACTGTGGGCTCTTTTTTCTTTTATTGAAATATGCACCTCCATGGAAAAAGCAGTGAGAAGAACTCCAAAATATCTTTAGTGCAGAATAAAAAAGTTAAAATACCAGAAATCATAAAAGATAAAAAGCAAAAGAGGAATTTCTTTGAATATATATTTTGAGAAAATTGAAAAAATCTTAAAATCTACAAGATTTTTTCCAAATACCCCCACGTGTACTGGAAAAACTGGTGACTCTACATATCAGAGTCATACATTTTTAATTTGTTTCCATACTCCTCTCCTCTCTGCTTTGTGTACACAGCCTGTAGTTCAGCCCAGTTCAGCTGGAAAGCTAATGAATTTTTGTCATGATGGTCACAGCAGAGACCCTGAAAGCCTCGTGGTTACAAGAAATGCAGATTTTTTTACAGAATCTGATTAACGCATATGGTTTATTTTTGGCTATTTTTAAAATGAGGTGCAGAATAAAATAGTTTTTGATAAAATACCCTGATTTGAAGCTTAAACATGGATCTGCACATCACAAATGAGCAGTTCAAAGACCACTGAGAAGATGAAAATTTGACTATTTTTTCTGTTTTTACAGTTTGTGAGTTTGATAGCACGCCTCTCCAAACCATTATGGCCAGTTTTGGGGCTCAGATAGTTAATTACTATAATTTTCCTCTTTATCTTTGTTCACTTCAAGTAACTGACAGGCCTGTCTGCTCTCTCCCCAGTGTCGTGTTTTGGTTTGGGGATTTGAATTTCCGTATCGAGGACTATGACATCCACGTGGTGAAATGTGCCATAGACAGCAATAAGCTGCCTCTGCTGTGGGAGCGGGATCAGGTGAGCGCTTTTACCACGTTGGCACACTCACAGAGACAGGTGGATGTTTCTGGAAGAGTTTACGCCACCTGTTTGTCTGCTGGTCACCAACCACCAGAGGGAGCTGCAGCACCGAGTGAACAAACATCACCGTCTGTTACACTGAATGAAACTCATCCAGGCGTGTTGTTCTCTTCTGTTTTCCTGTTTGTTTGACGACTCCACAGCTCAACATGGCTAAAAACACAGAGTCCATCCTGGAGGGCTTCATCGAGGGGCCGCTCAACTTCCCCCCTACATATAAGTTCGATGTGGGCACTCATACGTACGACACCAGGTTCGCCTCAGACGCCTCCATCACAAACTTGTTTCTTCACCTCTGCAGCTGCTGCTATCAAAACCTGTTTCTGCTTCACCTCTGTCAGTGCTAAGAAGAGGAAACCTGCCTGGACAGATCGCATCCTCTGGCGCCTTCGTCGCACCGGTTCCCCAGTTCCTACCCACAATGCAGCGCTGCAGCGGGGTCTGACCTCATGGTTGGGGGGCGCGACTAAAGTGACACAACATGTGTACCGAAGTCACATGGGCTTCACCATCAGTGACCACAAACCTGTTTCTGCTCTGTTTTCGCTGCACGTAAGACGATATTCGACACTCAAATACACTCTAGCATCAGTTTTCTTCCTTAGTTATGTTGTTTTATTTCTATATATGTCTCTGCTCTAGTTCCCATTTAAGGTGGGGATGCCTCTGGTGGAGCTGCAGGTGAACAAGGAGTGGTCCAAAGTCTCAGATGCTACAGTCAGATTCACCGTCGCGTCAACTTATCAGCGCAGCTCATGGGACTGGGTCGCAATATACAAGGTAGTTGTTTAGCAGCTCATCAGGTACATTTTCCCAGTTTTGCTCCTCTGAGTGTCAACGCTTAGGATTACAGCCATGATTTCCTTTTGTCCAGGTTGGATTCAGGCATCACAAAGATTACCAGGCGTATGTGTGGGCCAAAGGAGAGCATGCAACACAGGTGGGTCACAAACTCCATCCATCCATTATCTATACACCGCTTAATCCTCACTAGGGTCATGGGGGGCTGGAGTCTATCCCATGTGACTTAGGGCGACGGTAGGGGACACCATGGACAGGTCACCAGTCTATCACAGGGCTACACTTAGATACAGACAACCACGCACACTCACATTCACACTTGTGGACAATTTAGAATCACCAATTAACCTCAACATGTTTCTGGACTGTGTGGGAGGAAGAACCCGGAGAGAACCCACGCTGCACGGGGAGAACATGCAAACTCACATTAATACATGTTGTGCTGCAGCACAGTTAACTTGACCGTTCTGGTCTCTGCAGGTGACGTTCTCGGAGGAGGATTTGCCAAGAGACGACTGTGAATACATCCTGGGTTACTACAGTAATAACATGAACAGTATTGTCGGATTGTCGTCACCAATTCAGGTAACGCAGTTCAGAAAAATAGCAACGTTCCTCCTGTGTATGATATATTCATGAATGGATGTGTTCATTTATACTGTGTACATGTATATAGACGATAAAAGTCTCATTTTAAAGAATTTTAAGAGCTAAATTTATCTGATTCCAGCTCCTAAAAGGTGAATATTTTCTGGACAGTGGTGGAATGTAACTAACTACATTTACTCAAGCACTGCACTTAAGAACACATTTGAGGTACTTTTACTTTACTTGAGTGTTTTCTTTCATTTCAATTTCTGCTCCAGCTACATCTCAGAGGAAAATATTGTACTTTTTACTTCTTTATGTTAATTTGACAGCTTAAGTTGCTTTACAGATTATGTTTTTGGCACATAAAATATATAAAGAGCTTATAAAATATGTTGTTTGGTTATAAATTAAAGTCACTGAGGGTTTATGCAAGTACATCTTAATTGTTTTGTGAATTAATCGAGGAAAATTGGCAGCTTTTCTGATAATCGTTTTCACTGTTTTCCCAATTTTTACAAACTAAACAATCATTAAATTGATGGAGAAAATAATCAGTCAGTTATTCCATAATGAAAATAAGAATTAGTTGCAGTTGGATACAGAATAAGTCAAAACAGGCTCAAGTTCATCCAATAAAATCCTGTTTTTTACATCAATGCATAACTAATAATACATATGATAGAGTAACATTCACATTTTTCTGCAGTAGGAACCTTTTGTGATAATACTTCTACTTCAGTAATGTTTTTAATGTAAATGCTTCGTCCACCACTGTTTCTGGATCTATTCCAAGAGAGTAAATATCTGATTGTTGCTCACAAAAAACAAGACATGAAGAGAAAATAGTGATTCGAACATGAAAAAGATCATAAACTCCAGTTTCTAGTCACTTTGCAGAATTAGATTATGCAAAATCTATATATTTATATATACTAGCTTGCAAAATGTGAAGCTTTTTTGCCACCAGCATGTAAACAGTTCAATTATCTCCACCTTGACTAGTTCCAGCTTCAAGATGCTGCTTGAAAATGTTTGTATCAATAACAATAATTCACTAATATAATGAAACAGACAATAACTGAGAGGCAGCAGCACCATTCAGGTGAACAATGAGCACTTTTATTTTAGGTGCATTCTGCTGATAGTATTTAGAAAACCTTTATTGTCATTGTAGCACCGGCAAAAGCACAAAATAATAAATAAATACAGAAATAAAAGTGTAATAAATGCTCAAATCTAACACTTTGCACCAGCGTTATGTTTCTTATTGCAGCAGAAATAAATACAATTTATTGCACACGTTTGAATGACTTATCACACAACCTTCCTTTAGTGCTCTTGCTTGTATTTTTTAAGATTTGATTCCTTTTATTTATCCTGTAGTTTCCTTTTTTTTAGCACTTATCTCCTCCTCATCCTCAACAGATCAGGATGCCCGTCCACAGCCCCACCGTGTGCCGCTCCGAGAGCTCCGACGTCAGCTCCGAAGACGACAGCACCCTGGTCCTGCTGGCTCCCAACTCCCGCAGCCCGAGCCCCAAAACCGGCAAACACCACCACCGCCACCGTCGCAGCCGCAGCCCTGCCGTTCCCTCCCTTTCGTCCAACCCCCTCCCCTCCCTGCAGGGACTCAGCCTCTGTCCTCGCTCCAAAGACAGCCAGACGAGAAGCCGCTCGCCCTGCTCCGCCTCTAAGAAGGAGCGTCTGGTCTCCCCCGACACTGTGCCGTCTCCCACCGTCAGCCCGCTCACCCCTCGCAGCCCCGTGTCTCCGGGCGGCGGCGTGACTGCGCCCGAGGCCCTGATCGCTGCCATCTTGGGTGAACCCAGACCAGCTCAGGTTAGCCCCACGGGGGTCAAACACATAGGGAAGGCAGGGGAAACAGACGCTGCAAAGAACATGAAGATCAAGAGCTAAAATGAGGTGCGGTGCGAGGAGGACGGGGGGAGCGATATCCATGCGTTCGGGGTTCTGATCCGACCCCCTCCCCCCACACACACACTGTCACTGTGCTCGTAGAGGCAGCACATCTAATGACTCTTAACGTAGTTTGCAAACATTCCACATTGTAGCTCTGCAGCTCCCTGTTTCTGAATCATCTCATACACAATACTGTATGTGTATCTCAGAGTCAAAAATGTGTCCAGACTCTCAATGACAAGTGCTTTTATAGACTCATAAGCTATATCATACATAAAGAAGCATATTGAATGTGAAACCAAAGTCTGAGTAAACCTGTGATGGATGAGGCCAGTCGTTACTGACAGCAATATGGATCCATGTAAACAGTCTTGTATCACCATAAGGACCCTGGACCACAAGTATTGATGGTATCATTGTTCACAACACAGTGAGAGAGTGTGTGTTTGTCTGTGTGTGTGCGTGTGTGTGGTTTTGTGTAGGCCTATGTGTTAAAACATTAATTAAATGTGTGAAACATGCATTTCGGACCTGATGGCGGTTTTCACTCCGTAGGTCTTGGTCTGTATTCATAAAATGAATCTAATGTATCCGAGAGTAGCGATAGAGAGCATTTTATCACCTCGAGTCAATGTGAAATTTCCACGTGACTGCGTGAACTTGAACCGTAATCCCAGACCAATGCTCTTATTCTTAGCCGCTTTGTGAATACAGCCCCTGTTCTATGGAGCTCAGTGAGCGGACGTGTAGGCTAACGTGGTCGTTGTGCTTCAAGGAAACAGTGCTGTTTAACTGTGTGAGTGTGCAAATAAAAACGAGAACAAACAGAAAACTGAGCTAACATGTGCTGTTTATTGGGCAAACGGTGCTTCAAACCGTCAAAAGGAAGCGCATATTTGTTTATGTGAGTGTGTGTGTGTGCAGATGTGAGGCGACATTTCACCCAGATTTGACCGAATCAGAAAAGCCTGGCAGACCCACTTTAACAACGGGAACCCGTGACTTCATTTGGAATTCAGCCTTCCGACTTAGAAAACTTTGAATGATTTACGAGAGGCGTGCGGGTGTTTTATGATTTTGGCAAGTAAGCTGTGTCTCTATGATGGTTTTATGCTGAAATACCAAATTCCCCAAATTGTTTCACACACCTTCCAAGTTAATGTCGACTTTTATGGAAAAAAAAATCTGACATGAAACCATCACTTTCAGATACCTTCACATCACCGGAAAGGAACCTGAAATAGGCTTTGTTCTTCTTTATCCTGACAACTAATATTTACTAAACCAGTCCAACACACAGGAGGAAAATGTGGCTAAACAGACAACACACTGTAATAGCAGTAATGCAACTCAGTTTTTCTATTCAGATGCTGCTACAATCAATTTAAAAAACATTTGGCGATGTGTAAATGAGAAATTATTGCAATTGTGTCGCAGGAATAACATGCAAAAGCAGACCTGATCATTACAAAAGCTTATTTAGAAGTCATTTAATTGCATTCAATATTTCTATAAGTTTAGGGATCAAAGACATCTTTATTATCCCAGATTTTTTTTTTAGCAGTGACCACTTCATCCAACAATAATAAATAGAAAACACACACAATCAGTTACTACACTGCTGTCTGTTATAATTTTAGAACAGCAAAAAACTTTTTTGTTTTGTTAGACCTGATCAACAAAAGCTTGAAACTTACTTTTGACTAGTTAAAGGTTTTACTTGTCAGGTATAAGATCAATGATATAAATAATAATAAATCTTCATGCAGACGAATATCAGACAAATAGAAACAACAAAACATCCACAGTGAGTTCAGATAAATCCTCTGGTTTCTGCAGAGGTGTGTGGATAAGTGCACACAGCTTATGGTTTGCCCTGATATTCGTAATCAAGATAATCACTCTCTGGATTACAAACGGATCTAAAACCAAAGCTGGATGCCAGGGAGGCGAAGCAAGCTGAGAGGAATCATCCCCTGAGTGATCAGTTTCATCTGATGCCAGCTCACATGCAGAAAGTTAAAGGGTTAATCATGATTACATGTTCACTTAAACTAGTGGTTTGTATGATGTTATGACTGGACGATTGCTCGGTGTGGTTATAAAATTTAAGTGGTTCTGTGGTTCTCTGTGGTCACCAATCAGCTCCAACCACTGACAGGTGAAGTGAAGCAAACTGATCATGTTGTTAAAATGCGATGTTCTGTTGAGAAACGTCGTCTCCTCACATTCATGTGGACGTTACGTTCACATGTGCAGTGAACCACCTGAACCCTGCTGCAGAGCCAGCGCAGGCCCCCTAACCGGACCCGCCACACTGCAAAAACTTCTCCGAATCGAAAGTCACATGTATTTCCTCCGATTGCGTTTTTTTCTTGTGAAACACCGAATAGTTTCCCCTTCTTCACGTGGTTCTACGGCCAAACAACCACATCAATCATTGGCGTCTTCCCTTCAGGCTTCAGCTCAATCTAATCTTTAAAATGCTTTGACCTCTTGGAACTTCTGGTCAAAAACATGTTTAAACTCTACACAAAAAAACATTTCATTACATTCTTTCAATTCTTTAAAAGGAAAAAAGTAGAACAAGTATTTGTCGTACCATCACGTGGCTTCTCCAGAACAGAGTTGTGCATATTTAACAAAACTGAACCCTTTTCTCACCATAACAATTGAAATTTTTATCTTTTTCTCTAAGTAAGAAAACTATTTGCATGCTTATACTTTTGTATGTAAAATACTTGATTCCTTCACCTCTGTAGGCCCTTTAAAATCTCCCAGGTTAGTAGAAAACTTCACCTTTTTCAGGCTTACAAAATCCTTAAAGTTAGCAAAATAAACACTTTAACTTACTAAGATACAGTCATCTTATGAGGCCTCTAATAATCTTTAAATATAGGATATATAATATGTGATTTAATTGTACTTTTTACTACTTCTGGACTCAAAAATCCTTAAAATCCCTCAAATTAATTAGACATCTGGTAAATTAATCTAATCTGCAACAGCCAGGCCTCTAAAAAGTGTGAAATAAGTGAAATACTTTCATTTCAGGCCTCTTATTGAATTTCCCTTCTGGGATGAATAAAGTATTTTTCATTAATTTCATTTCATTTTCATTAAAGTTTAATAAAACACCTGAATGCTTCACCTAAGAAAAATGCAAGCAGGTAATATTTCTACATTGAGACATCACCTGTCATCAGAGGGGATTGTTTGACATGCCAAAAAAGAAAAGAAGAAATAAAGAAGAGGAAGCCGCTCTGATCCTGCAGCAGCAGCAGCAGCAGCTGTCAGGTTTGTACTCTTGAGTTTCCGCCTCCGGCACATTTTTGTTTTGCTCCGGCCGGATCACGCCCATCAGCACCACATGCTCTCTGCTCACCCACAACATTGGCTGCAGAGGAGGGGTCTGGAGAAGTTGTTCAGGCGAATAAATACAGCTGTCTGCCTCCTTTCACTTCCATCCGGCTGGCCTAAACTTTCAATATCAACAAGCTGCTTCGTGCGTGAGAGCAGGAGACCCGAGTTGAAGGCTGCCAGACGCGTCCCCGGCTTCCTCTAAGCTGTATTATAAGCGGGTATCTGCTCGGCTAGCTAGCTCCTTAGCTAACTGTGCTAAAATGAACGGCCACCTGAACGGCTTCCACAACGACTCCGTCAACGATGAAGACTGCTTCCTCTTCACCTCCGAGTCAGTCGGAGAGGGACACCCCGGTGAGTTTTTTAACTTTACTCCAGCCTTGTCTGAGCGGCACTTTATCCCTCCGCACAGGGTAATTAGCCTAGCATCCTGTTAGCCTCTCAAACAAGGTCATGTGGCTTGTTACAGTTAGCTCAGCTGGTCCTTAATCGACTTTAGCTGTAACTGTTAGCATTTGAAAACAACACAGAGATTAAGTTGTTTATTAATTAGTCAACTGCAGACAAACACAACGCAGGGAGGCTCAAATAAAACTAAAACAAGAGGATTAAAGTACAGCTCAGTATAACCAAACAGTGCTGCCTTCATGACTATATAAAGGCTGAAGAGACTGTTTTAGCTAAAAATAAAGATGATATAGTAGCTTGCCCATCCTCTCTGCTGCTCTGTCAACAATTAAAATTCGTACACACACTTTATAAAGTGTCCTACACGCCGTACTTATTTCAACCACAACCATTTTTCAGCACACATGCGGCGGAAATGCGTGTTTTGTAGTTCGTTTGGGATGTATGCTAACAGCTCGGCGGCTAGCTGCTGAAGCTAACACCACGTTAGTCAGGGCGGTTGGCGCCTGTCAATCACACACGGTGGAGTTTTCAACATGTGGTCGGATGTTTTGTCGCTGATAATAACAATAACCACGGATGACGTGTGTGTTTTCGTCGTTAGTCAGACAGGACTGCTCGCTGCCACGCTGTGTTGCATCATTATGTCTTGTCTGAAGCTGTGTCAGACTGAGTTCATTCAGTTTTATTGACATTTTTGAGGCTGTGGTGACTTCTGTGATGGTAAAGCTAAACTAAATGTCTCCCACATAACTACTAACACCTCAGCTGCTCTTTAAAAGCTTCATGAAACCACTACTTATTGCATCAGACTACCTTAGTTTCAGTTTGTGTACATCTGTAAGGTACAACTTTTAATTGCAAAAACTACTCAGCAGCTTGACCAACAATGTGCTGCCATTTCCAGGACATCAGGGGCAGCAGCTCTATTGCTACAGATAATAGGCTTAGCACTACTCCTAAATATAGGTACCGCAGGGGCTACTGCTCCACGGTGGGTGCAAAGTAGTCACATCCACACCCTTTATTATTCACTAACCCAAAAGTACAGACGCAGCGTGCAAGTGGTCTTCGTTTCTGACTTGGAGGAAAAATCTGGTTTGTGTTGTTAGAAAAGGGTTTTAGGCAGTTGTGCTCAGGACATTTTGTGGAGACCATGATTGAGTTAATCCACATCTGTTGTTGCTCAAAAGGACAGTAATCAGACAGTGTGGCCAGTTCATAGGCACTCTTTTGACCAGTTATTGTAAAAAGACACCTTTAAGATGTAGCTCTGTTCAAATGACTTGATGCCACAGATCAGTGGTTCTCAAACTGGGGGTGGGGACCCCCATAGAGGTCTCAAGATAATTTCAGGGGGTCACCAGATCGTTGTAAAAAATAAACAAATAAAGCCAACATGTGTCAAATAAATTTGTATTCAGGCTGTCAAAATTAAAAGTGTATACTTAATCCCACTCATTTTTCTTTTGTTTTTTGCTCTTTTTAAAATAATTTTCTTTTGTTTTTGCATTTTTTTCCCTTTCATTTGTTTGAAATAGATTCAATTCATTCATTCATTCAAAACAAAATTAATGTGAAGAGATTGATCTGTGGAATTTTTAGCACATGAACAACAAAGTTATTACTCGTGATATATGAAGAATTCAAACTGGGGGGTCACGAACACAAACTGATGTTATCTTCGGGGTCGTGGCTCAAAAAGTTTGAGAACCGCTGCCATAGACGACGAGAACAGCCTGTTGGCCTGATGGATGCTGGGAGGTCGGTTCAGGCTCTCAGCCAGACACTTGAATGTCCACAGCTTGACCATTTGTTGTTTAGAAGATTGTTTTTAGATAGCATGGTATAACAGACGATCTATTCTCTGAGAGGTTCTGCCCATTGATCCTGTCCCTGTAACGTCCACCACCTTCATCTCAACAACCTCATCAACTCTGTGCGTCACATGGGTTTGACTTCTGGGGTATGACTTGCATACTTAGTTATTTCATGACACACATTTCCTGATGCTAAAAAAATAAATAAAAAATCCTGGAAAGATTCTGATGAACTGTGACATGCTTCCTGTCTGTGTTTGTTCTGTTTAATTGCAGGACAGTAGAAGCAGCTACAGAAAACTTCTACCAGTGTTGTGCTTGTGAACTAAATGTTTGGAGAAGAGCCAAACAGGTTCAGCCATTCTTTGCGAGTTGTCACACGAGTCCTTGTTTGTGTCTTGACAAATAATTACAGTAATTTTTTAAGGGAGGGAGAAGTGCTTTAATTAAAGTCTGCGATTGGAAAATGCCATCGCCAAATGTAAACTAATCAGGGTGTGGAGCTTTGGTTATTCAGATGTTAGTAACGGCACAAAAAGCCTTTCTCGGTTGTGGGAGTTTACCCAAATTGCAACACATGTCTGAAAACATGAGGCTTTTTTTTGCTGTTGTATTCATTGCATGCTTTGAATGTCCTGAGATGTTAACACTAGTATTATCTGTCCTGTTGTGGAAGCAGTTTAAACTCGAGCTGATCAAAAACTACAGCGCATCCAGTACAACGAGGAGGTTTTATGTCACTTTAAAGAATGTTTTATATCTTCCTCCACCAGTTTAGCACTTTGATAGCCAAGAAAAGTGCAAACCACTTCTAAATAGTATTATTTTTAGAGGAGTGAAGCTCAGCTTGTGGATAATCTGTTCAACAGTTTCCTTGGTGTAACATCATACACTAATACAAAAAAAAAACTACAATGAATTGTTCTGAAAAATACAAATTTCTCCCCCCACAGATAAAATCTGTGACCAAATCAGTGACGCCGTGTTGGACGCGCACCTCAGACAAGACCCCGATGCCAAAGTAGCATGTGGTAAGTGTTTGGACAGCAAAGCAGGTCAACGATAAAGGCTGTATTTCACTGAATGATGCCTATGTAAACTGAGGCATGTAGCAAAACAAGGGTAAAGTCCATCCAGTCACACTCATGCTGCTTATTGGATCTTGTGGTTCGTCTGGTGAGTCAGGTTTTCTGATGCATCATATGGTTTCTGCAGAATTTTAACCAGATGGCAGCAGGAACTAAGGAGCTGTTGTAACTAAACTTAATCAGAAGTCAAAAGTCCTCTTAGCCTTTTTTTGTGTGTGTTTTTGGTTCCATTTAGTGCCTGTATGGGTCAGAACACAGCAGAAATGCAGGTGCTGAAAGCTTTAGAAGCTTTCAGGTTTTTGCAAAAGTACTCTTCAATGGACCGGATGTTTAAATTGCAAATTAGCTAAATGTGTCTTTGCTTGTAGGCTTTACATCTTGCTCAGGCTATTTGGGACAAACATTTCACATCCTGTGTCGAGGCCTGTTTGTTTTCGTTGTTACTCTGGACTTTCTCATAACCTTTAAATGAATGTATTTTATCAAAATCTTATCTAATCATGTCAGATTACCTAAAACACAAACATAAGATTTGTTAGCCCATACAATCATTGCTTAAAGTGCTCGCTGTTTTGTCCTCAGAGACTGTTGCTAAGACGGGGATGATCCTGCTGGCGGGGGAGATCACCTCCAGGGCCAGCGTTGACTACCAGAAGATTGTCAGGGATGCAATCAAGCACATTGGCTACGACGACTCCTCCAAAGGTACAGCGATGAGAGCAGGTGGCTGTGAGTTCAGGTTGTGCAGGAAAAAGCCAGTCGTTGTCTACAGAGGGCAGAAAGTACATCCAAAGCTGTGGTAGCAGTATTGTCAGAACTGTACCACATACTGGAGTCATATTATTCCACTATGGAGTTTAAAAAGCAGTGATAATATGTGCTGTGAAGACTGGAGGGGAAAAAAGGTAAATGTAAATGTGATTAACAACCAGCAGGGTGGATGTGCTGGATCTTGTGAAACCTGTACTTTTCCCATGTAACATGCCAAACCTCAGACTGAAAGCATTTGATTTATTGGAGCCACCTCGTATGACTGAGGAAACGTCATCAACTGTTTCTCAGTAATCAGCTGTTGCTCAATAATCAGCTGTTTCTCAATAATCAGCTGTTTCTCAATCATCAGCTGTTTAGTTTAACCTCCAGCGGGCACTGCTGACTGACGTATCTTGTTCCCACACGCTGCAACTGTCACCTGTCATGGAAAGATGTGAAATATTGCGCTGTGGCTCTGTCGTCGTGTTTTGCAGGCTTTGACTATAAGACCTGCAATGTGCTGGTGGCTTTGGAGCAGCAGTCCCCTGACATTGCTCAGGGTGTTCACCTGGATCGCAAAGAGGAGGATGTGGGAGCCGGCGACCAGGTTTGAGGGTTCCTACGTTTGTTTGTGTCCGATCTAGATCTGGATAACTAACGGCAGAAATGTGGTGGTAACGTAATTATGCGTTATTTTGACCTGTGTTCATGCTGTGACGTGTGACTGCACCTCTGACAGGGTCTGATGTTTGGATATGCCACCGATGAGACTGAGGAGTGCATGCCCCTCACGATTGTCCTGGCTCACAAGCTGAATGCCAAGATGGCGGAGTTGCGCCGAAATGGAACGCTGCCGTGGCTCCGACCCGACTCCAAAACTCAGGTTAGACAAAGAAAGAGACGTATTGCTACTTCTGTAGATGAGCACAGCCTCGGTAGTTATTTTCATTTCTAATGAATCTGTTGATATGTTCTGACATCATTTCATAGGCTCTGCAGGCACTTGCTTATCCTGAGGAAGCAAGATCTTTACATGTTCTGTATAAATATTTATTATTGATTTTAAAGCAAACAGATTCTTTCGTTTAGTTTCCTGTGCATGTGTTTAATCACTCAATGTTCTTTGTGCATAGGTAATTTAAGTTGGTCAAGATCCCACTTGATCCTGGCTTATTCTGAATTTTTGAGGCTGATATTGATGTTGGGAGCTGCAAGGTGGCTTGGTGGTTAGCACCGTTGCCTCACAGCTAGAAGGTTGCCGGTTCGTGTCCCGGTGAGGATCTTTCTGCGTGGATCTTTCTGTTCTCGTGGGTTCTCTCCGGGTTCTCCGGCTTCCTCCTACAGTCCAAAAAATGTTGAGGTTAATTGGTGATTCTAAATTGTCCGTAGGTGTGAATGTGAGTGTGCTTGGTTGTCTGTCTCTAAGTGTAGCCCTGTGATAGACTGCTGACCTGTCCAGGTGAACCTGCCTTCATCCTGAGTCAGCTGGGATAGGCTCCAGCCCCCCGTGACCCCAGTGAGGATGAAGTGATGTATAGAGAATGGATGGATGGATGGATATTGATGTTTGAAAGTTTGCAAAAATAAAAAAAATACCAAGAACATTGGCGACATTGTTTTGTTGATAATTGCCTTGTAACAATTTGATCAATAGCCAAACAAACACTGTCTGTCTGTGCCTGAAGAAAATCTCATTGATTGACAATTATCAATAAAGCTCAGCAGTGTGTGGACCCTGGACTCTTGTACCACGGAGAGTTGTTTTTTTAAGTCAGGCAACTGAAACAAGATTTTATTCTTTTTTGAAAATTTTTTTTAAGTGAATGTATTTTTTTCTTCTTTAATTTCAATTAACAGTTAGGTGTTAATTAAAATTGTTGCCAGTTTATTTCAGTTAATTAAATCATTGTGTCAGTACTCCTGCATTTTATACTAAACAAGAAATGTTCATGAATTTTCTATCTTGTAGCGTATTGTGAAAATTCTTAACATTGCTCTGATGGAACTGATGTGAAGGGAAACTTAAAGTAATAAAGAGTTAACATTACATCAGATATGATGTATCTCATAGCCTTTGGAGGAATTTAGGAACCCTTTATGTTAAATATAATTTACAATCACATATTTACTTAAAGCCTGAACATGTTTTTACAACCTGTGTGCTTATGTTTGCAGAAAGATTTAGGTTCATATTGCCTGGAGTTAAAACAAATATTAATTTTAACATATAGTTTACTACTATTTACTTGTTAAATATTGGTTCTCTTTTCTTTGTTTGTTCCCCCCCTCAGGTGACTGTTCAGTACAGGCAGGACAGAGGAGCCATGGTGCCGCTGCGCGTCCACACCATTGTGATCTCCGTGCAGCACGACGAGTGTGTAAGTTTGGATGAGATGCGTCATCGTCTGAAGGAGCAGGTGGTGAAAGCTGTCGTTCCCGGTGGGTACCTCGACGACGACACCATCTACCACCTGCAGCCCAGCGGACGCTTTGTCATCGGGGGACCACAGGTGAGACAAAAACGTCTTTCAAGTCTGTGCCTCGATCCCTGCAGCACGAAACACAATCACCCCAAGATCAGTGAAAGTTCAAGTCATATTTGTTTAAAGAACAAACATGGATTGCTATTTGAAGTCCTGATCTCTTGAAATTCAATTCTAACACATACCTACAGCAGATACTGAAGTAGCTGTTCTAAAATACTTCTGTCAAAATGAACAAATCAGTCGTATATATTTTTTGAAAGTCCATAAACCTCAGAACTCTGTGTTCCTTCCCACAGGGTGATGCTGGTCTGACTGGGCGTAAGATCATCGTCGATACTTATGGAGGTTGGGGAGCTCATGGAGGCGGAGCTTTTTCTGGAAAGGACTACACAAAGGTGGACCGCTCTGCGGCCTACGCGGCCCGCTGGGTGGCCAAATCTCTGGTAAAAGCTGGACTCTGCAAGCGTGTCTTGGTCCAGGTGAGCACACAGAATATCAGAGTGTTGCTTTAACCAAAATCAATACAAAGACTTTGCTGCCTGCAGGCCTGAAGGTGGCTGTTTCAGTTTCCGACTTTCAGTGATCTTTCCCTGTTTGTCACTCTTGGACCAGCATGTCAGTTGGTTGGTTCTTTCAGTGTTTTAGTATTTTGAAGTACATCGGAGGACATTGTAATTACTGTGAATTCATTATCACTGTTGTAGCTGTTTACTATTAAAGAGAGGAAAAGACTAATTCTACAGACACTGATCAGCTTCATGGTCCTTGTGTTGGTATTCTGTGTGGTGTCCTGATCGTGGATGCTTAGATCCGTTGAGTTGCTGGTCAGAACATGTACTGTGACCGAGATGTATGCTGGACATTTTCACTTAAGTATTCAGTGCTGCTGTCTGGACAAACTGTTCCTAAATGTGCTCGATCATATCTTTGGCTTTTCTCAACTTAACCTCTCATGCTACTTGACTACTGCGACTCCTGACTGGCAGGCCTCCCCGCATCCATGATCAAACCTCTACAGATGATCCAGAATGCAGCAGCACGTCTGGTGTTCAACCAGCCAAAAACGGCACACGTCACCCCGCTGTTCAGATCGCTTCACTCGCATCAAATTCAAAACTCTGACACTTGCTTGCAAAACCACAACGAGAACAGCTCCCTCCTACCTGAACTCTATCGTTCAGGTCTACACTTCCTCCTGCGCACTACGCTCAACCAACAAAAACCTCCTGAAACAACCACCACAACAGAGCGGAGGTCGATAGCTGGACTCTCCTCCTCTGTGGTTCCCTGGTGGTGGAACGTGTCACCAAACTCTGCTGACTCCCTCTCAGTCTTTATGAAAAGAGTAAAGACCAGCTCTTCACTGAACACCTTTGCACTTGACAGACTGAAAACAAGCAAACAAAAAATCCTATTTCCTCCCACACAGCCTGCTGTTGGCATCAACGCCCTGTTATCACACTTAAATTTTTTCTATGACACTTATCCATATTGTTTTCTCCTGACTAGATCCTTGCTTGTGTTGTATCTGCTCTCAGATGTACGTCGCTTTGGATAAAAGCGTCTGCTGAATAAAACTGTAGAATTGTAGCTACTTATCCGCTGACGTATTTGCAGGAAGCTCATATCTAAACAGTGAGCGGGCTGATTTACTGGTGAAGCTCTAGTTGCTGTGTTGAACCCAACAGTTTACAGTAGACATTTTTTCTGCATTTCTTTTCACGGAGTTCATGTGAGGACTCGAGGAATCTAGAAGCTGAACATTTCTCAGCCTTCTGTTTTGATATAAGGTGTATGTTTTTGGTTTCTAATTGTGTGCATTAACTGTGCTGTGTGCTTTAGGTCTCCTATGCTATTGGAGTTGCCCACCCCCTCTCTGTCTCCATCTTCCACTATGGGACCTCCCAGAAGAGCGAGAAGGAGCTGTTGGACATCGTGAAGAAGAACTTTGACCTCCGTCCTGGAGTTATTGTGAGGTAACCTGTGATTTTCAGATTTTCACTACTAACCACACAGTTAAGGTCCCCATTACAGTCATTTCAGGCTTTATTAATTGTGATTTTATTTGTCTCTCAGGGATCTTGACCTGAAGAAGCCCATCTACCAGAGCACAGCAGCTTATGGTCACTTTGGTCGTGATGTCTTTTCATGGGAGGTGCCCAAGAACCTGAAATACTGAACCCCTCTTGTCTCCCAGCAGGCCTTTAGGTGTACTGCGGGAAAAACCTGTGTGTTTGTCTACCGTCCTTCTCTCCCTTCTTCTTCTTCTCTTCCCTCTTTCTCCTCGCGCTCACAGCCACATCACAAGAGTCTCTGTCGCGTTAAAAAAAAAAAGAAAAAAAAAAGGCCCTTTGTCCACCTGTAAGCACAGATCATCAAAGAGAAAACAGTGGTTATTGCCAACATCTACCAATTTGAGCGGTGCTACCAGGCGTTATTCATCTGTTTCGCAGTGATTAATGATCATCTAGTTTCCTGACACTACCAGTAAGGAATGCACTAACTTGTATCTCAGCAAATCCGATAAGTATTATTAACAGAGCTACAGTTGTGATAGATTTCTACCAGAGCCATGTCTTCTAGTAACGAAAACATTTCTAGTATTCCTCAACCTTTAAATACAGAAACTCACTGCAGTGTAGTCGCCTCCAGCAAGAAGTTTCTGTTCTCACTGTTAGCATCATTACACAAAAACTACCTTTCATGAAACCAGGTGGAGAACGGGCGAAGGAAGAACGCTTTAAATTTTAGCCTGGTTTAGGATGTGAAATCGACTTTAAGCTCTCCGTGAGCCCGTCTAGTCGTAGAAGCGAAGGCATCCTCTATTGCATTCTCCCTACGTGGCAACATGTCATTTCCATTTTTGTTTAACTTTGTTTTTTATTTAATGGCAGTTTAGCATAGCAAAAACATCTTCTCTGTTTTCCTCACACTCCTCTTTCTCTGTTTTTGAAGTTTTTTTTATGACACCAGTGGGGTCTCATTCTCTTTTGTTTTTTTTACTTGTGCGCCCCCTTCAGGCCATTTTATTTTCTGACGTTTTACAGAGAAGTCAGAAGCTGCTAATGACCTTTTGGTTCTGTTGGGCTGCACTGTGAAACCACTCCATTTTTCTATTTATTTTGTTTTAAATTGTCATGTGATTAATCCAAATTATGTTAAACGTGTCAATGTTCTGCTGACCAAGATAAAGGCACAGCACCTCCTGGGCCTGACTCTGGGTGTAGCTACAGAGAAACCCAGACTCAGTCACTCCTGGGCCGGGACTGCCTTTATCTCACGGCGACACTACTTGAAATAATTTATATAATTGCGTTTAACTGATGTGGGACCGAACAGTTTGACCAGCAAGGAGGGACAACTGAGTAACGTGCCACAAGTTTTTTTGTATCCTAAAACTGTTTTCCACTCAGTTGCACATATTGATTGAGTGTCCTGATGTCTTCATCTAACCTGGATGTGAAGTCCCAGTGGTCTGAAGAACGTGAAGATTAGAAAGACAAAGAAAAATAAAGCAGGGCGCAGTCAGCCAAGTGAATGTAAGACGTGGTGTTAAGGCTCTTGTCTTCTTGGCAGAGTTAGTTAGCTCCTGGAGCTCCCAAAAATTGACCAGGCTTTTGAATGTTACATGTGCCGTAGTTGTCCAACGAATGTCGAGGCTGCAGCTGGAGCTTTTCTTTTAAATTATTTATTTATTAGTTTTAAAACATGTTCGTTACATCGTCCCTCACGGGTTACGGATGGCACAAGTTACATTTCTCCTGACGAGCACACTGGGTTTGCCGAGCTTGCCCCTCTTCTCATTCGTTTAAAGACGGCAGGAAATGGAGCTGAAGTGTTGAAAAGGCGTGCGACAAGAGACCATGGCTAGATTTGAACCTAAGACACTTATGAATACACAGTATATGCCTTCGAATGCTTCCCCAGTTGTCTTTCTCCGCGACTTCACTCCTGGACTCCGACAAAAGTTTAGCCCGAGTGAGATTAGTGTTTACCTTATTATTAAATCATCGCAGCTGGTCAGAGATTTGTGCACCTAGCGAGTTCAAAATGTGTCTGCATCATCGTGTCAGTAGATGGCGCTGTGTCCCTGCTAATAGTACTGTAACGACGACTTTAGTTGGGCTCTTTTGGCACCACCTTGTGGTTTGTTTGAGTGAACTGCAGACGCCTCAGACAGCAGCCACATCGCGGTGCCGTGAGCTCGTCTGTGCGACAATCTGGTGAAATTAGAAGATTTTTTTTTTTTAACGATGTGTTTTTTTTCCTCCTCGAGCTCCTCCGCAGATGAGACGAATGATTGGTTGGTGTTGTACAGAGAAACCAGCCTGTTTACATGGTCTCCTGTAGGGAGCGAGAGGAGCTTTGTTGTTGTTGTTCTGTTTAAATTGGTTTGTTAAATCTTTGAATGTGAGTCTGTCAGCGTGTTTGCTAAATGTGTAAAAGTGCCTTCTCTCACTACCTGCAAATGCCCCCCATCTTCTACCCCCAAATACATGACTTCTTACCCTTTCGCCCTCCCACTTCTATCCCAAAGTCACTGAAGTTCCCTCCTCACTAGTTCATGCTGGTGAGTCCGATTTGTTCCCGAGTTTCTCTTTTAAACTGCTGAAATAAACTGCACTCCTGTTTTGTGCTTATGGGGCTGTGCTTTTGGCTGTTTATTCCATGTGAAAGGTGTAAAGGGACGATAGCGCAAGAAAGCAGAAGTAGGCTCGAGTCGATCAAGGTGGTAAAAGCGATCGCTTCCTCAGAAGATAATGTTATCGAGACAGACACGGTTTCTATTCTGGTTTTCACTGTTACTTCTGCTGTGTGTTGTAAAGAAACGAACGGCAGTCACATGCTGCAGGATCACAGAAATACCTTTCTTTTGCTTTACTTTAAAACTTTTAATACTATAGTTCAGGTTTAGAAGCCACATCCTGCTTAGATTTTGGATGCACGCCTGTAAATGAAGCCTACAAAATACAGAGAACTGATAAGAAATAGCAATAAACTCACAGATGCTTCTTTTTTTTTCTGATAAAGCAGTCATGTAACAGCCGTATCACATACTTTATTTGATTGTGATAACGTTACAAGAACACATCATCTGAAGCTGATAAAGTCATGATATATAAAAAACTGTTTGGTTAGTACAAAAAAAGAAATCTAGAAAAACAAATCTTATACAAAACAACTGTTAAGCCGTTAACCTTTTTGATCCAGTAAAGCCTTTATATCTTTTCAGCTGAAGTTCAGATAATCCATGTGTTTTTATTAAACTGTGGATTTCCTCTCTAAAAGCAGGCGGTCAATCAAAACGCAAAAAAATCACAAAATGCTGTAAAATATCAAATCAGGAAATAAAAGGAATACTATCAGAATGCCGAGAAGTTGGAAAACATTTGCAGCAAAACATCGTCGACTCATATTTTCGATCCCACCCTGAAAAGAGAAACGTGAAGATGTTTTATGTGAGTACATTTTATTTTCTTCTTGCGAAGTTTCCTTAAGATTTCACCAACCTGTTGGATCTTAGAGTGTGTTGTAGCTCAGCGGCTTCCAGGCATACTTCTGGCAGTAGAACAAAGTCTGCACAGAAGAGACAAAACAAATGTTTTCACCACTGAGCATCGATACGATAAGCAGGTAGTTTAATTTTAATGTACTTACTCCACATCTGAGGGCAGTGTGGGTGTCTCTGCACCTGTACGACGCCAAAGTGCACGGATCTGTGATTTAAATGAAAAATATACTCCTTTTAGACCCATTATCAAGATAACGTGCAGGTTCCATCTTCTAACGTGATCAAATGGGTTCTGTTTTGTGGCCATTTTAACCAAATGACGCGCCGGTACGACTTTAAACCCCAGAATGACTCTATTCATGTTCAGTTGCTGTTTCTGCTGTGACGAGCAGAAAAAGGCCTCGATTTATGGAAGTGGTAAGAAGTTAAAATCTGCTTTTAAATAGATTTGGAGTCGGGTTTCAACTAATATATAAATAAAACAAATCATTTTAAAACACGTCACCTTGGATTCTTGGTATTTATTTTTTAAGGGTTATGCTATTTCATGCACAGACTCATATAACTACTATTTCTCCAGCACAATGTATTTGCAGAATAATTTCTCTATGGTTGTTTTCTCCATGCAAATACAGTTCAACAGTGCACCAACCGGAAAATGCAAATTTTGTAGTAATTATGAAAAAGATTTCATATTCATTGGAAAGTGCATAGACAGTGTTTTTCTCTACATATAGTCATAATGTGTATGATGTAGGTTTAGCTGGGAATTTACATGCCTTCTGTAGGGATGAAACTTATTAAGAAGAGTTTGAGAAACAAGTTGAACAAACTGCTGAAGAATGCAAGACTGAGCCAGAACCTGCAGTCAAACTGAAAGAAAATGCAAAACGAAAGATTGTGTGGATGCGGAGTGATAGGCATATGTAATTTAAATGTGAATTATCTTATGAGCTTTATCAGTAATTACAAAAGCATAACTTCAGTTTAGTTTTAAAGGTAGATTTGGTGCATTTTCCTGATGCAAGCTTATGTTACACATGCTTAGCTGTAGGACCGTCAGAAAGTTAAGAAGCTCGTGATTTTTTTTAATGTTTATACAGTTTCTGACTGAAAACAGGGTTGTTGTTTTTTTTAAAAGGGTTTTTATTTCAAAGTTAACCTGGATTTCTGCATGGCGAAAGAGGAAAAGTTTATTTATTATGTGAATACTGCGATGAGTTAAATGTCACAACTGTTTTCACACCGCGTCCAAAGTGTTAAAATTTTTTAAGGTTTAAGTTTAATCGGTTGACTCACGCTATATTTGACTTTTTACGTACTTCTACGTGGTAGTCTTGCCTCATAAGTGTGACCCAAAAAGTGGCCAACAACGAATTGCTGGAGTAAAAAAATGTAATGTGAGTAAAGATCTGAACCCAGACACCCCCATAGAGGTGATCTGGCTCCATCACTGCTGCAGGTTCATCTCTGTTTTAAATGTATTTGTGTATTTAGTGCTCTGTGGTTGTTCTCTTTTCCTGTAAGTACCCAGGGACGACAGATGCAAATTAGCTGCTAGTTAACTCTGGGTGCACTCACTTTTAAATGTGTGCCGTCCCTGTGAAAATAAACTTAAATGCACCCTGCAAGAACTTGGGGCTGCATAGAGTTCCTGGTAATGCACCATGAATATATTCTAGAGTAATCTACCAAGTTTCATGCAAACAATTCTGGGGTGGGTTCATGATATCTACTATATAAAGTGTCTTGGCTTTCTAACATTCTGTATGATATTGGAAACTGTCATAAAGTAGTGCATGGAGAAAATGATTGGTTAAAGACTTATTCCTCGTAATTAACATGGCTTCTCTTAGTCACAAGCCACTGGAAGATCAGAAACATTACAAATAAATCTAGTTTCGCAAGTTAGATGGTTTTCAGGAGTCAGTTTGAAACTTTTGTTCCTCTCAGAGTTACGTTATTTGGGCGTTTTTTTTAAATTTATTTTGGACTCTTTCAAATTTTCACAACTTTCCATCCAGAAAAATCCCCTCAGTGACAACAAGACGAGGCAGACTGACCCACAAGAGGCGCCTCCTGGCCTTTACACAGGTGGATGAGGGCACAGATGGTCTGAGGGGTGGCGTAGCTCAGGATTGCATCCAGCACCGTCTTGCTGAACTTGTCGACGACGGCCTCGCACTGGTTGCGGTAGGTGGAGGGCAAAATGTGGCAGATCTCCTCCAGCAGTTTGATCACAGCGCCCTGCGGTAAAACAGAGAGTCACCTACATGTCAGCGGTGTTGTCTGGTGGTATTTAAGTGTCTACATGCAGCACAAAGAGATGTTTGTTCAGTTTCTTCACTGCGTTACCGTGACTCACCTCGGTCCTTTCCTTTGGCAGCAAATCCTCCAAAGTCTTGACAAGAAAAATGCAGAAGGCGCATGTTGTTGCGGGCTTCCCCTGATTGACAGACACAAACAGCAACGGCGTGAACACAGGTTGACCTTTTCACATACACTACTATTCTTTCTGAAAGCTACTCACATTGTCACTGGTCGCAGCGGCCTGTAGCACCTCCTGGACAAAATACCTGAGCATCTTCTCACGACTGTCACAGGAGCTACAGAGCCCAATCATTTTGCAGACTTCTGCTGGTTTCTACGAAGAATTAGAAGAACAACATGCATGAAGAATAGCTTCAGAAACCCTCACTGTCACTGTTTTAATCTGGGCTTCAGACTTACTACAACAACAGTCACGAAGTTGATGGCCACCGGGAGCACCTTCTCCACCTCTTCTTTGCAGATTTTGGCAGCGGCTGGTGCGGGAAGATGGTCGCACAGAGATTCAATCTCATTCATGATCTTTTTCTAGAATAAAGAGATGGTTACAATTATTGGAGATAGATTCCTCCACTGCTAAACATGTGAAACATGAAACAGGTAGTATGGAAACAATGGCATCTGCATTTAAAGTAACAGGATTAACAGGTTAGAGATTTAGACAGAGGACCGTCCCATAATTCTCCACCTGACCACTAAATATAACCTATTTTCTTTTCAGACCTTTCCTTGGATGATAGTTGCAGATCTTTAAATGAAGCCCCTTTGCAATTTATTGGTTAATTTACATGTTTGGCCACATAACTATTTATTTCATACTGAGTTATTTATTCATCTAATACCTCGCAATTATGGAGTTCCATGATTATCTGGTAGGTTCCCTTTTACCTGCCAAGGATTTAAGATGACTGATTTTTGCTGCCAGTCCAGTTCAGTGAAGGTGATAGGTTAATTGTGTTGGCTGAGTTTCTTGAACATCCATCCATCCATCCATTATCTATACACCACTTAATCCTCACTAGGGTCATGGGGGGCTGGAGTCTATCCCAGCTGACTCAGGGTGAAGGCAGGTTCACCTGGACAGGTAACCAGTCTATCACAGGGCTACACTTAGAGACAGACAACCAAGCACACTCACATTCACACCTACGGACAATTTAGAATCACCAATTACCCTCAACATGTTTCTGGACTGTGGGAGGAAGCTGGAGAACCCGGAGAGAACCCACACTGCACGGGGAGAACATGCAAACTCCAAAGATCTCAGGTGTCCTCACCAGGATGTGAACCGGCGACCTTCTAGCTGCCTTCTAGCATCTTGCAGCCCCTAATCTCTTAACCATGATTTATGAAACAATACAGGGATGTTTAAATATTGAAATCCTAACAAATTCGAACTGTTGTTTTCTTGGTCTGGTGAAGCACTATCAAATCAAATCAAGTGTATTGTCATTTTGCTGTACATACACTAATAGTGCAGGCAAGTTGAAAGAGGGTTTCTTCAGGATCCAATAAGTTAAAGCAATTTAAATAACGAAGCATTTGCATATCTAGATCAGCTTGTGGAGTGAAGCTGTTGATCAGTCTGGAGGTTGTCTGCTTATGTAGTTAATAACACTGCTAAATGAAATGCTGCTTACTTGGTATAAGAAGGAGAGAATGAAAATCTTGCATTTTTATTCCCAGCTTTCCATTCTCAACCTCACGTTTTTACAAAATTAAAGATAAACGATAAGTTTTAGTTAATTTAAGTTAATCATGCTTTCTCTATTTGGACTCAGATGGGACTCGCCACAAACCAGAGCAGGCTCAGAGAAAAAGAGGATCTTCAAGGTCAGGTGAGAAACGAAAACTCTCTGTGAAATTTCATTTCAACTTTTGTTAAACATTGAAAACAGGAAGTGGTTTTGCACAAAAATAAAAAGCGGGCATCATGTGCGTTTTACGACACACACAACTGGGTACAGATAATCTGCGTCTCTGAATGAGAAGAATGTGCTTCAGCTGATAAAGTAATTCCTGGAATCTAAAGCATTTTTTTGTTATTTAATGAAAACTATTCAATCACAGATCTGAGCAGATACTCGCAGGAGCACAGGGCATATTTTAATATTGACTTGAGAATATGGACATACGTGGTGTTGATAGTGTTATCAGTGAGCAAATATGAACGCTCAGGAATGTCTTTGCTGCTCAGGTGACTATTATACTCACCTGGAGGTCTGCGTTGGAGAGTATGTCAACTAGGAGTTCAAATATTTGGGTGCAGTCCTTGCAGACATCCCCATTCTGAAAATAAAATCAAATCACAACATGAAGTTAAATTAATGCCCTAAAGTGAGTTAGTCGAGCACGTCGAAGCTGTTCGTGAGATACCCTGTGTATTTGTGATCGATGCTCCCGGGCAAAAATCTGTTGTGTTTTAAAAAAAGCTGCATTTCATCCAGATGGAGCTACATCAGTTGGATTGAAACATTTGAAAATTATGTGAAAGTTTCTTTATACTTTCTTGAAGAGGAAAGATACCAACAGATTTCCTGATTTTAAAGAAATGCAAATCTCTGTTTTCTCTGCAAGAACCCAGTTCTGTTATTGTATGTTTATTTTTAAATGCTTCTAATTTCACTGTGACTGGAACAATGGTGCAGAAATATCATCTTCAAAACAGGAAAATGAATGCATTCTAAGAACTCATTCGTTCCCTGAGTTTCTTCATGGTTACATCTCTTGGAAAAATATTTGCTGTTTTTAAGTCCGACGTCAGGAAGTTGCATGATAAACACATGTTGCACTTAATAAACACAAAACACGCTTTTGTTAGAATAAATATAAAAAATCACCACTTACGTTGATATCATCTGGAGCACTTTGCAAACCCTCAATCTCATAAGTCGAGGTCAGAGCTGCCGGCAGAAATGTTGAGCGTTTAAAATTGTAAAAATTAAAACGATCACGGTTTACAGTATTTTCATTGTCTTACCACATCCTTGGAGACCGATGGAGAGAAGCAACACAAACGTAAGCACGGCCATTCTGAAGCTGAGCGTCTTCACCTCCTCGCATCTGTGAGGAAGCTCCGAGTGCGGCTTATATTTGACTTGGCCCACCTGCCCACTGTGGCCCCCGTCAGCCAGACAAAAAAAAAAAAACTCATGCTGGTGTGATAGGATGTATTTTCAGCTTTCCTCATTGAGGAACCGTTTTTTTTTCTACATGCTAACATTAGTCTAGTTTCACATTCAGTTCCTCACACCAAGGTGAAAAAACTAGATGTCTTTTATTTGAGAGACGTGTGTGTAAAGATTTACTACACTTATTAAAAATGCCACCATGTCCAGCTTTACGTGCTCTCATTCCTCTTCCTCTGTTTAAAACTTCACTTTACTCTGTGTACACAACCTTAAGTTGATTTTTACACCATACCTGAGTTTTCTAGTCCTAGTTTACATTTCAAAAACAGAAACGTGACAAATTGTTCTCCTGTTTAAAATGAGCTTCCATCAGCTTTCCTCAGTTCCCAAAAACTGAACAGTATCAGCAAATAGTCAGACAAACGTACAGATATTCAGCACTTCTTCAAATCGCATTATTGGACGTCTTTTGAAGCATTTCAGCTTTGATCTCTGTCTTTGGTTGTAGTTCATTTTTTTAAGTTTATTTGTACATTTAAAGCTCCTACAACATTCAATACACTGTCTTCCGATACCATAGAGCTGACCTGGGTGTGGCCTGAGTGTCTTTACTGTACTTTTTTTATAAATCAAAAAGTTTGATTATGATATTTAGTTTTTACCACAAATTTGTACAATTTGACTGTGATATTTTTACGTTTTAATTTTGCTCTTGACTGTAGTTCTAGGCTGTTGACAGGGTTCATCCTGGCTCAGGATGAACCTTTGGGCGGTGACGGTGCAGAACAGAAAGCATGATCGATCCATGTACAATAAAGACTACAAGAAATCTGTGCATGTTCCTGCTGGCTTTTCTGGCAGACTACAAACCAGTCGTGTTAGGTGCATAACTATACCTGCAGGTCCAGAGAGCTGGACAGCCTGACTGGATGGTAAACATGAGATCCAGTTAGTGCTACCTTCACCACAGAGCATTTAAGCCAAGTCAGAACTTATCTGGCTTATCCAGCATTAGCCTTGAGATGGGTAAAACTTCTAAAACTTGCCTAAAACTTCTTCTGGCATTGCAAAAAGATCCTCTGTTTGGGAAAACCCCTTAGTAGGAGCACACTTGTGTCTCCAGAGCTCTGCCTTTTAATTTTCTTTCGACTCTGTTCATTTTATTCTGAGGCTGCTTTTGCGAACTGCTGTAATATTTACTTTCTTTTGGGAAAAGCAAACCCTTCCTCTCAAGCATCTGTGATTTATTTGCTTGAACGTTTCTCGCACACAACTTTATCATTTGTACCTTTTCAGTGTGAGAAACTACGTGTCTTGGCATTTCTAACCGCCTCTTCCTGCTTGTGACGGCTTTTCGTCATTTGTTGCTTCCTTTTTTTGTAGCTACTGAACATTACTTTATTCTGTGCAGGTTTGTCTCCACAGCCAAATTAGTTTGTCTATTATGTGACTAAACTGAGTGGAATGCTGACGCTGAAGGTTTTAACCTTTACCAGCTGAGACAGCATGGCTGGTGTTGTTTGCACCTTGTGAGTCTGGTTATCCGCGTGTTTCATCATCGCAACATGTCTTCCTGGAGACGCCGACTGTAGCAGGAAATACCCCAACAGTAGTTTTGAGTTTTTTAACAGGCGTTTAAGTGCGTGTCAGTGGGTTGGTAGATTTTATCAATGCAATAGCGTGACAGCGGTGCAACACACAGTTATGAAACTTTACAGGTTTGGAGGTGACTTTACAATAAAGGTCAAGCTCAAAGATAGATGAAGTCTGACCTACAGAGTATTTAGGTAATCACTCAATAAC